TGTGTGCCGTAATCAGGGAGACATAGATTTATATATTGGACTTTTTATTATTTTATCTTATATATTTATTGGACACATTCCGAGCTGTAATTGTATTTACACGCTCGCAATATATTTCAGTGGAGTTAATAGAATACTTACCCGCAAAAGCAACAGGGCATGAACGAACTCCTCTACTTCTCCAACTGATTCTTTACCCAAGGGTATTTTTGCTTTAACAACTGGGAGATGGTATTTTACCCCTTTTTCCTTTATCAATCCATGAATTTCAAGATACTTACCTGCAATATTGATGCCGAATCCTATATAATTTCTATAAAAAGCTTCTTTTGCGCATCTCTTTACAAGTTCCTTAGATCCATCTAAACAGAGTTGCACCAATTTATTATGATCATGAATAATCTTGTCATTGTCAGAATCCCATTTTCCACTTTCAAAGAATACAATTTCTTCCCATTTCTGACAAAGATAAGCACGAATCATAATATCAGGTTTATCACCTCTTGATCTGCTTCTTTGCTGAACTTTCCGGTTTTTACTGGCTATACTTTGTCATTCAGACCTGGTAACTTCAACCTCAAAATCCACAGGTAAATGGTACATAGTCATATCTATTAAACAAGCAATGATCTCCACTAATGTATTTTCTGAACCCCTAGAAACTCTTTGAAGCGTATCCAACTTAATTTCACTTGTTATATGTTTCCTAGTATAATCATCTTCAACCCATTGATCGTGCATTACAATTTCTCTTGAAGACAGTACAAATTTCCGCCATTTATGCACCTCATTTCTCTTTGATATAAAATCATAGCAAATATTCTTTACAGAAATATCTTTACTCAGATTTCTTATGTTAGCCTTCTTTCCCTATTAAGATTAATATACATAAGTAATTCTCATAGATATGAAATCCATATATAAGGCTTATCTTCATAAATAAAAAATATAGATATTATATACGTACAACAAGGGATTTGAGATCACTTTCTGCAATATTATATTTATCCGAACTAAGATCGATGATTCCAATACATAATGGATCATCATTTGATAAATTATCTACATCTATATTGCTTACTCTTGTGAAAATATGATCATATGCCGATGTTTCTCCATTCTAACATATAGGAAAAAAAGCAGTAATGGAAGCGGTTCCAAAGTGCAATGTAAGTTAAAAATTAAAACCACTTGACATAATTAAAAACTCTTGATACAAGCAGATACAAGAAGCAATAGTAAAGTAGGATTATAAAAAATTCCAAATTATGTAAAAATGTATGTGTCCCAAAGATGAGTAAAGGATTATTATATGTAGACTAGGTTTGGATTGATCATGTATGTAAATTTAAAGAAAACCGAAATATTTAATAAAAATAATCATTTTTTGCTTAATATCAAGTTTTAAACTGACAAAAATGTTTTTCTTTGGGACTTGACTAATTAAAAAAATTTAATATTGTGACTTTTAAAATTTACATTATCCAAACCTAGACTACATACTATTAAAGTTAATATTTTTCTATTATGTGGAGTTGAGAAAATAGGTTTCTGAATACTTTTGTCCAGAGAGTCATTTCTTTATTTCTTTTCAGTATGTGATATTTTTGATTTTTGGCTTTGAAGTTTATGATATGTAAAACACCACATTCTAGCTTTAGTTGTTATCTGAGTTCAAACTTTATATTAATGGGTTAGCTTTACTTGTAGAACAACCTTTATTTAATTCAAAAAGCTTTTTGTTGGCTAAATATGAAGTTTGCAAAGCATTAAATGACTAATTATTAAAAACAATATTTTTTATTATCTGAGGTTCAAATATATAAATTTTGACTCTTTAAATCATTGGTTTTGCAATAGTTCTCTTAATTGTATTCATTCTTGAAGTTTGCATATATTTTTATAGAAATTTAAAGTTGATACAAGATTATGTAATAAAAGTAATAAAAAAATTTTTTAATAAAATACAATATTCAAAACCCATTTCTATTAATAACCAGGAAGGATATCAAGAAAAAAGTTGTCTATTCAATTGATGATTTAAAGCTGATGGTGGGCTTTTAAAAAGATAATTATTGACTGACCCAGAGAATAAAATCAATAGTAGTGTTGATATTGGTAAAATCACTAAAAAAATATTACACCAATTTCAAAAAATTACAGAAAGTGATATCATTGAAAGTAAAGAAGTCACATATTATCAATAAATAATAAAATAATAATTGAAAATGATGAAATCAAAATAATAATCAACAAAAGAAACTATATACTAGTGTATAGAAACATGTTCTAAAAATATTACTTTGTGGTGGTTTTTATTTATATATATACTAGTTGCTAATTGTGGCAGGTAAGTTAAAATATTTAATGAAGCAAATAAATAATAATAATAATTTTCCCTAATTCCAATAAAAAAAAGTTAAAAAAAATTTGATTTGTATTTTTGAACATTTTAATTTTTATCAATTACTTGAAAAACTTCTAATTCATCAAACACACTACCATTTACTAGATTGATGTTACTATAAGTACTAGTTGAACTATAAACAATCTTATTACTTGGCTCAAGATACAAATCATGACCACCACCAAATCTAGGAAGGTAACCTGAATAACAATATATTGCATGTTGTTGATTCTGAATAGGATAACTAAACTGTGCAGTACTGATATCCATTCTATTGCTTATATTAAATATAAAACTATCATTTGTATTTTTATATAAATCATCACCATTCCAATTAAGTGGATTATATCCACCAACAATTTGCTCAGTGTTTTGTACTTTGGCAACCACAAGAGTTTTGTTAATATTATCACATTTTTGATGAAAAATAGCTGTACTTAAATCATCTCTACTACTACAATATAAAAGTTTAAATTCATATTTAACTTTAACTTCTCCAAATAAAGTATATGGTGGATTCTTCCTATCAATCCAACTTGCAAAAAGCAAGATAACCTTTTTTTCTTTAATTATTGTTGAGTCAATTATTATTGGAGGAATTCTTGATGGTAACAAATTTAAAGTTTTCTCTTTGTCAGGAACTAAATAGTATTGTAAAAGATTTTTCCATAAAGCTCTAGGAAAAAGCATTAGATATGGTACAATTTTATCATTAAAATCTTCATTAGAGATATCCTGAAATCGAATCAAAGGAATAAATTCTTTTATTGTCTTTTCAAAATCTGCAAAGTTTTGCAATGACCAGTCTTCAACATTACTATTACTGATTTCTGGATGTCTTTTCAATCCCCATTTAAGAATATGTTGCCATACAATTGTTTCATCCTCAACAACAAAATCATTTGTTTTGAGAATTTCCAAAATAATTGGTTTTTCCAATGATTCAAATTCACTTGACTGAAATAATTTTTCTATATAAACCCCATGTTTCTCAATAAAATATTTCATTGTATATTCATAGAGTGACTCAAGACCAAGTTCATGAGCTGCAACTAATATTTCCACAATCTCAACTCCAGTAAAATTGTCTAATTCAATTTTACAAGTATATAAAAATCTTTTAAAATAAAATAAAAATACTGTTAATTATCATTACTACCATTGTAGTATAGAAACAAGGACAACGTCAATAATGATTTTGAGTTAATGCCACCCCTTACATGTAACTCTTTAGGCAGAACGGTTTTGGCTTAGAAACCATACCCATTTTTGCATAGTAAATTTTCCCAATAATGGCAAATCCCTTAAAATGCAGAACATTTTTTCAAAACATTATTTTCAACGTTGTCCTTGTTTCTATTGAAAAGCTCCATATATTCAATTAAAAAATAAATACAATATAATTTAATATTAAACTTACTTTAGAATAGGTCTAAAAATTAATTCACTAATATTTGGTTTTTCAATAACATAATAACCATTTGTTTTTGTTGCATTGGTTAAAGCATTTCTAAAAAATGGACAATGAACTTGTAGAATGAATGAATGTGCATGAATTTCTTTAACATTTGGTTTTACACCAACATTAATCTTTACATCGCTATTCTCTTCTGAATTTAAAAATCTTTCATTTTCATTAAAATATTTTTCTAATATTGTTGAATCCATTTTTATTACTATTAAACGTTTTTTTTAAAAAATTTTTTGTAACAAAAATTTTTTACAAAATCATGTTATTACCGTATATATACATAATCGCCATAAAAAAGGGTCACAAGAAAAGGACAGGGTACAGGTAATTGTGGCTAATGCCCGTCCCCTGTCCTTTTCTAGTCACCCCATAACAATAAAAAATAATTCAACACATTTAATTCATAATTATTTAACTCTAGGGTAATGGAAATAAATAAAAATTTATTTATTATATTGATATTATTATAAGAAAATTACTGGACTTCTAACAATGTTACTATTATAAAAATAAATATCAGGCAGGATAACAGCATATTGGATTTTTGATTATTAGCATATCTAAACTATGCAGTACTGATGAAGCCATCATTTGCATTTTTATATTCACTCCCATTCCAGTCAAGTGGATCATAGCCACCAACTATTTGCACTTTTGCTAATCACAATAGTTTTTTTGATATTATCACACTTTTGATGAAATGCAGCTGTATTTAAATATAAATCGGTTCAATTTGTACTTTAACTCCTTCAAATGAATTATATAGTGGATTCTTTCTGTCAATACAACTTGAAAAAAGCAAAATAACACTTTGATTAATTATTGTTGAGTCAAGTTTTAGATTAAAGCTTTAAAAAAAAATAATAGAACGACTTTTACTGGACAAAAGTATAAGGCACCTATTTTATACAATAGGTTTGGATTAATCATGCATGTAAATTTAAAATTTTTAAAGAAAACCAAAAATATTTAATAAAAATAAAGAGTTAACAATCATTTTTTGCTTAATATCAAGTTTTAAGCTGACAAAAATGTTTCTCTTTGAGATCTGATTAATTAAAAAAAAATAATATTGTGACTTTTAAAATTTACATTATCCAAAACTAGTCTACATATTATTAAAGTTAATATTTTTCTATTATGTGGAGTTTTGAGAAAATAGGTTTCTGAATACTTTTGTCCAGAGAGTCATTTCTTTATTTCTTTTTAGTATGTGATATTGGTTATTGCATTAGTTTTTTGATTTTTGGCTTTGAAATCTATGATATGTAAAACACCACATTCTAGCTTTAGTTGTTATCTGAATTCAAAATTTATATTAAGGAGTTAATTTTACTTGTAGAACAACTTTTATTTAATTCAAAAAGCTTTTTGTTGGTTAAATATGAAGTTTGCAAAGCATTAAACAATTAATTATTAAAAAACATTGTTTTTTATTATCTGAGATTCAAATATATAAATTTTGACTCTTTAAATCATTCTTGAAGTTTGCATATATTACAATAAAGTTCGGTTTTAAATCAAATTTTGATGGTAATCATAATTGAAACAAATTTTGTTCCAAATTTTGATAAACTCCAAACATGAAATTTAAAATATGGAATTAGAATAAAAGAACTGGTGAAAAATGCAGAAGATAAAGAATATGATTTATTTATATAAAATTAAAAGTCAGTCAGTAGAGATTCCGTATAACTTTCAATTCCGTATACTATTTTTTTTTGCTCTATACATTTTTTATTTTATTTTCTAGTTTTTCACAGAACGGAATTTGTGAATTCTGAAAAGTTGATTGATGGGGCCAGTCTGCACGATCTTTTATTCTGTATTTTTGTTTCATACGGAGCATTTTTTACTAGTGATGTTAGCCGGCTAAGAAATTTATCGGCTTAGCCGGCTTACACGGCCCAGCCGGCTAAGAAATTTTTAAACGGCTTAGCCGGCTTGAGCCAATCAAATTCCATTCTCAATAATAATAAAAAATA